AATTTGTGGTAATGTAAGAGAGGAAACTTATAAAGTTATAAGTAATGAAATATGACGTAATATACTATCTTCTTTAAACGTACGGCACTGAAAGGTTAAACTTTTTTTTTTGGCACCCATCAACAGAGGTGAACTGTACTTACTCTGAAAGGTTAACCTTACCTTACCTACAGTAAAGTTCAATGGTGAACTAGCCATGATTCAGACTTCAGAGAAGATTCTCGAGAATTCTTTTCTACATCGTGCATTAGGTACACCGTACACGCTAAATTGATAACAATATTAAGTATTAATCTATTAAAGTAGGTAACCAAACATCAAAGCATAAGTGATAAATTATATTAAACAGGTATATTACATTTTTCCTTATAAATTATAACAATAGATCATATATGAATATACCGAGCATTTTTCTGTATTTAAAATATTAATAATAATATATAGCTATTATGTATGAACTATGAATAACCCAAATTCTACCGCCACAGTAAAGTGGGAAATAAGGAGGGCCGTAAAAAAACAGRAAATTAGTTTTCAGGAAAATTAATATTAGAATGATATTTTTCATTAACACTGTTCAACAAGACCTTTATTTAATGGAATATTTTTATCAGGAGATTATATTCTCGAAAACATCCTACACAGAACCGTATGAATTGGAACAGTATTTTAAAGTACATCACAGTAACACTAAGTCACTAACGGACTAACGTGATAAAATCGTGTAACCAATTGGCAATTTACAATGATGACGGTCAATCGCTAGCTGCGCTGCGCTCGAGCAAAAACAACGAAAATGTCCCTCGACTTGCTATGCAAAACCACCTTAAGTTGGTCACAGGGTAACCAAAAGTATATTAAGTGCTTATCAAACTRTTCTGACAAAATTTGTCCCGAAAAGTATGGTTCTTGCCAATATTAATCCTAAAAAATTGTGTCTCAAATCATATATTAATTTAAAAGATACTTCTCATGACTTATAATTCATTCATCTAAGTTATTCCTTGATAAATTCTGTCCTGAATAGTACGGGTCCCGGTAATTATTATTTTGATTTTTACGCGGGCGGCGGGCCCGGAAATGATTATAAATTATATATTATACAACCTCTTTGAAATTTAGATACATTATCCTATCAGCTCATTTCCCGCCCTTACTAATAATGTAGTTGTGTATTCTTTGTAACTAATACTACTTCACTGTACTAGTACTATAACATACTCTTCAATAATACTGACAACTAGTTGTACTAACTATTGAAATACTTAATTTTAATTTCGAATACGTTCATACGGACTGATAGATTAGAAGGTAAGACATTTTATGGTTAATTAATCGTACTTCTTTTTTCCGTGTACTAGTATGTTGAATCCAATGGTTCCTTACAAAGTTACAACTGAATTGACGATTGTTTTCAATCACCTATATTGATCTTAAATCGTACCTTTTAATAATTATAAAATTCGAACTTTTCATAAATTATAAAATATATACATACATTTTCATCGATTGTCAATGTTTTTGATAATAATATCATAGTCGTTCCGTTTGGTGCTTAGTTTAGTTTAATCCCGAATCCCGATGTGAATAAACATCACTCGCAGTATTTGGACCAAATACTCTTTTTCGATTACATGAAACTATAATTACCTATGTATATGAAGGTAAGATGTAATTACTACAATGGTATATAAGATAGCCATTTTAAATACATAATATTATGTGTATTTAAGTATTATATTTTTACCCTTCATTAATGTTTGATAAAGGATTTCGTTAGATTTTAATATGACTAAATTATTTTAAAAACTRTTCTTACTGTTCTTAGGCAATACATTAGTGCTTTGTAATTGATTTGCCTTTCTTTAAATTTGTCTAGAATCTGTTATCAATCGCTACTTAGTTTGGATTAATTGAACATTTATTAGGTAGGTACCAGCTATCACTTATTATTGATGAGTTATAACATTGTAAAGAATTTAATAAATAACTATAATTCATTGCATTTGAGACTTAATTAATATATGGTTACTTACTTAAATGTATTATATTTTTGAACCATAATTGTGTAATGTGTTTCATTACCATCTTGTTATCAATATAAACTATTTTTGTACCAAAATATTGACTCAATATTTAGTACTCTAAAGCCGCAGTCAAATAGAGTACGGCCTGCGGGTACACAGACCGTGGTGAGCAGTGATCCAATTGTATTAGCTTACAGTAACTGCGTGGGCAGCCCACTTTATGTTCAAATGTGCCTTTATTTTAAATTCTAAGCAAAGCAGTACATTTATCAACTTAATAATGTTTTTTTTGCGTCCGAAGACACTTTAGAAGAACAAAAAATTGAATCTAGGTTATTTTGTTGGAATGTTTATTAATTATAACATCTGATAATGTTAACCTACTGCATAGTTTTTATTAACACAAACAACTCACCATAACAATATAAAACCCCATTTTTTTAATTGAAAGAATAAATGTTAACCTATTTACCTAATTTTTTAATATAGAAATAAGCTAATCATATAGACAAGTTAGTGCAACAACAATATTGTATTTTTAAATATCGAAGATTATCGTCAAGAATAATTTGATATGATTATTACAATGATATTAGTACAATCAATATTGCTACAATTAATTTAATATTATGTTAAAATTCTGCATTTTGAAGATCCCTTGTGGAATATGTCTAAATGCCTGTTTTAAATGCTTAAATATGAATTCTCTTTAAAATTATTTATAATCTTTTGTATGTTATGTCCATTCAGGAAATCATTTATTTAAAACAATGGAGTATGAAAAAATGTTAACCAAGGGCGCATTAAAGTCCATCATGAACAATGAAGATGTTAAAGATCCAGTCATGCAAGTTCTCGGTGTAAGGAAAATTACTGCTGCAGGAGCAAATGAAAGATATCGCTTACTTATTTCTGATGGTCATAATTTAAATTCTTTTGCGATGTTGGCTACTCAGTTGAATGGCATGGTTTCTTCTGGAGAAATTAATGAATTTTCCATTCTCAAAATAAAACGTCACATAATCAGTAGTTTGACTGACCGTTCAAAAGGAAGCAAACAAGTCATGATTCTTATAGATTTGGCTGTTATGGTTGCTGGTGATGTAGTGGGTTCAAAAATTGGCGATCCTAAACCAATAATTGATAATTCTGGTCAAATGGTTGAAAATGGTGGTTCTGCTTCAGTTGATTCTAAACCCCAGTCTAATTCTTTGGCAAAACCACATTCTGTTCAATCAAGTGTTATAGATAATGGTCTTCAAAGAGATATTGATGTTAGCAATATTCATCCTATTAATTCTCTAAGCCCATATCAAAATAAATGGACAATCAGAGCTAGAGTTGTAAACAAAGCTCCAGTTCGTACTTGGAATAATCAAAGAGGCGAAGGTAAACTTTTTAGCATGGATCTACTTGATGAGAGTGGTGAGATTCGTGCAACTGCTTTTAATAGCGAATGTGATAAATTTTTTGATATGATTGAAGTAAACAAAGTTTACTTTATAACTCGCGGTGCAATTAAAACGGCAAATAAAAAGTTTTCAAACCTGAATAATGATTACGAGCTTACACTATCTAGTGAAACGCAAATATTTCCATGTCACGAGTTTGATGATTCTCAATTGCCAGCTCTGAAGTTTAATTTTGTTCCATTGAGTCAAGTGAAAGACGTTGATGTTGATGGTATAGTAGATGTCATAGGAGTTTGTCATACTGTGGGAGAATTAACTATGTTAATGTCAAAGACAACTAGAAAGGAATTAAAAAAAAGAGATGTGACTATAGTCGACCAGTCTCAGAGTTCTGTAACAATTACATTGTGGGATACTCAGGCAGAAGATTTTGACGGATCATTGCAACCTGTAATTGCTATAAAAGGAAGCAGAATCAGAGAATTCATGGGTAGCAAATCATTGTCCCTTTTAGGATCAACTGTAATGCAAATAAATCCAGACATAGAAGAAGCCCATCGCTTACGAGGTTGGTATGATTCACTTCCTTCAAATTCAGAATTCAATAATATTTCAACCCGTTCTGATGTTGGAGCTAATTCTCAGTTTCTTACTATTAAAGGAGCACAACTTGCTCAACTTGGTAGTGGGGATAAAGCTGATTATTATAATATGTATTCACATTTGATTTTTGTAAAATCCGAATCTGCCTTGTATAAAGCGTGTCCAAAACCTGATTGTCAAAAAAAAGTTATAGATCGAAATGATGGAACATACCGTTGTGAAAAGTGTAATGATGAAACGGAAAATTTTAAGTATAGATTAATGCTCTCAGCACAATTGAGTGACTCAACTGGAAACCAGTGGGTAACTATGTTTCAGGAAACTGCTGAAAATCTTTTAGGAACTACTAGTGCAGAATTGGGAAGGTTGATGGAAGAGTCTAAGGAAGAATACAGTGATGTTTTTCAAAAACAAATGTTTAAATTGTTTGAGATTAGAGCCAGAGCAAAAATGGAGACATATAACAATGAAACTAGGTTAAAAGTATCTTTAGTCAATATCAAACCAATTGATTATAAGGCAGCTTCTACAAAACTGATTGCTAATATTAAAAGATTGAGTGGAATTACAACCTCGGTTATGTAAAAACTAATTATTATGGTTTTTTTTTTTTTTTTTATATATACATATAGTTAATAAGTTTAGAACTTAACATAATAAATATTATATAAGTGTATTTATTATAATTTTATCTTTTTATTGTTAAAAAAGTTCATTTATAATATTAAAACACTTTGGAATTGTTTACTAACTAATTTTATTTTTTTAACARTAAACACAGCATCCTATATTATATTTAACTTATAAAAATAAAAATGTCTCTTTCGTATAATTTAGTTTGGTGTAAACTTATATTTCCAAATAAAAAAAAAAAATGTACAGCATAAAAAATGAAATTTAAATTTTAGAAAATATTAAATGATTTTGACTCATTTAATACTAAACACTAGACCAACAAATTGTTCATAATGCAATGTGACTACTCCATCTTGATCTGTATCAAATTGGCGGAATGCTGTAGTTAGATTCTGAAAAATTCAAAATACATATTATTTAATATTTGATCAACTTTTAGTAATAATTAAAATTAAAATGTTAACCAATTTATTTATGTCCAACCTACCTAAAAATATTGATCAAATAGTTTTTGACCCAGCGTTAGGCATGCTAGTGAATATTAAGTTATTAATTTACTACGGTTTTTTCGACCACGTTATAATTTTCAAGTATAAAATTATAAAAAAATGTATCATATATGTTATTAAATGTGCTTGCGCAATTATGATATTATTTTTAATAACACTATTGAAAGATATACTGTGTATCAATGGTTGAGATATAAAATATAAATTTTTGATTGAACATGTAATAAAAGTGCAGTCATTTTGACTATAGTGCAACTAACGCGGGGTTAAAAAACTATGAATATATTTCAATCGACAAAATAGTTGAGCTAAGATATGCCAATGCAATGCTTTATTATTTAAGGTCTTAGTAGACTAAGTCTGTACTTTACAATATGAAGTCTAAATACAAAGTATTAGTAAAATGTTGTAATAAAATTTTCACGATGTCTTGAAAATTAATAGATATGAAATTTAATCAAGTTACTAAATAAGATTATTATAATTCTTAATTTATATTTTAAATTAAGTTCTATTTGTTGCTAGAAATTATCCTTTTTATAAACGGCAATTTAAAGTAATGTTGAAACAACAATGTAATTTTAATATGCATTAGGTACTCACATTAAGCATGATGCAACATTGTATGAAATCATCAAATAATACAGTTCCTCTTCCAATTCTATCAAATTTTTGCAACATTGTAGTAACGGTAGCATCATTTAAATTGTATCCAAATGTTTGTAATGCAGCTCGAAGTTCATTTTTGTCTATGTTCCCTGAATTATCTTTATCAAAGGAACGAAAGCAATTTTGCCAGTCTACAATGTACTTCCATAATGCACCAAAATCTTCAAATGATATAGTGCCTTTATTGGACTTGTCAAACATGTCTATAAATAATTAATATAGATTTAAAATGCAATATATTCATGCAGTACAACTTGATATAGTCTTCAGTATTAATTATTTCTATGATTCATTCATTGTACTTACATAATTGTGTAAGACTGGTCATAAAATAATAATGTATATAAAAAAAATTAAACAAGCTTTTACCACCTTGTTTTATTTGTATATAATTGTTTAAAAGGCACAAGTTAATGAAACAGAGGTAAGGAAATCATTTTTAAGAATGCCTAGCTGAAACATTAGTAGGATTTATTTAACTTGATTGCAACTGATGGTGAACTTAACTGGAGATCCAAAAACAGTTTAACTGAACAAAGTATTAACTGATAGATGAATCCTAATATCAGTTAAAGTCAATTGAAAAATCATGCCTAAGATACCTTCAATAAGTATTCATTATTGGTTCTCTTAATATTTGACAAATCTTATAAGAGTTTAAATAAGYATTTATCTAAGATAGTGATTTATGCCGTCTTATAACATAATACTGTCCATMTGTCATCATTAAATTAACTGCTTTTTTTTATTATTGCCTAAATTAGGTTTTATTTCTATTTAGGATAGGGTATGACTCAAAAGACAGTGTGAAACATACCACATAATTAGTAATAATTAATAGTATTCAATGACTCAATAGTCCACGCATAAATGTAATAACAATTTTATTTATGAGAGACAAGAGTTCTTCTATATTTTTGTTTCATTRCAATTATTATCCATGAATAATCATTATAATTTTATTTTAAATTAAAAACATCTATCAACTTACTTAGCATTAAACGAACCGTCTCTGGGTTRAAAGGTGTCCATGTGCCATTGGATAGTGCACTTTGTAATTCATTAGCTGTGATGGTGCCACTGTGATCTTTGTCTAATCTTTAACGATAGAAAAGCATTTACATATAAAATGTTATTAGATTTAATGATTAATTGTTATATTTTACTTCTGAAACATTTCYAACAAGTATCCAGGAGGAGGCATTCCACTTTGAGGTTGGGCCATTCTAGAATCCAATGTTTAATATTGTTACACTTTTATTTACTTCAAAATTCACACGTATGAAATTAATAAACGTCAATAAAGAAATCGTTAGCCACTACTAAAAGTAAACAATAAACAATTAAACAAGTACAACAAGAATAACTGAAGTCTGAATAATTAGAATGTACACATTGTACACTGTGAATGACAAATTATTAATAATTAAATTTCTTATCTTATCTACAATTTTACTGACTACGTATCACGTATGACACAATGTAAACAAAAGTAGGAATATAAACACAAAACAAAATAATAAACATAACAATGATAACATAATAACAACAAAATCCAACAAAATCCTTTGGTTATCAGTTTATCACTGTGCAACWTGTAAATATTRGCGAGCGCACGCGCTCTGTGCCGCTATCATTATTGTGATAAGCTGTGCCGTTCTAAAAATGGAAAGTTCAGTGTCCACACTCCACAAATTTATTTATTTTATTAGTTAGAAAACAATCAACAATTATGTGACAGTGTAGTGGGAAGTGGAATGCCAGTGGATTTGTCGTGGTGAGGTAATAAATTTCTCTGAAGAGACTATTATGTACAAGTTTTGTTATTTATTCTTGTGACGAAATTAGATCCAATGTCCATTATTAGGTCACTGGGTCATTTTGCAAACTAGTTGAAATGACTAAAMTTATGATGTGTCTAAATTGGTTTTGTTATTTTGGGTGTCATACAGGCCGGAGTGGATATTCTACCATTGCCGATCATTCCAGATCATGTGCTGACATCATGGATAATAAGTCCAGCAAACAAGTAGAACTAGATACGTGTGAAAACTGTTCTAATTTCTCTGTGGACGGGGATGGCGATAAAACTGCAGCTATGGTGTCACAAGCAGAGATTTGGCAGGAAGATAAAAAATTCACTGTAAATACAATTATTTTATAAACATTTGACAAATAGTTATTGTTGTGTATATAATTAAGCAAAATTTAATTCCATATGTTTTTAGGTATATAAAGTTGTAATTTGGTCACGGAACGAATCTTGGCATGTATTTAGGCGTTATAATGAATTTTACAAACTTAGTGAAGTACTAAAGAAACAGGTTAAGTCCAAGTTTTAATTTTTAGTTTTAATTGATTTATTGATTTAAAGTTTTTATTTTGTAGGTGCCAGATTCAAATTTAAAAATACCAGGTAAGAAATTGTTTTGTAACAACATGGATCCCTCGTTAATTGCCTCTCGTCGGGAAGGTCTTGATCAATTTGTACATCATTTAATGCATCAAAACAATTTACTAAACATGTAAGCTTAACTAATTATTACTTAGTATTATATTATGAAATCATATTCATACTCTAAATATTTAAAAGCTAATAAAAGGTAAACAAAGAATTTATAATTGAATGATTGAATAAATGGACTGAACAATTTTTTTCTTATGCTCAACTATTATTAAAATTTGAAATTATTAAATACAATTTATAATGCATGTTATTACTAAACATTAGTAGTGTTTACTTATGTAGTTATGTACAATGGTGCTGTTATGTTCATTAACAATAAAAATGGCTTACAAGATAGAAAATATGTTATGATATTAACTAATGACTAACAATAAATACTAATTATGTAATGAAGGCTCAAAATATAGGTGTACATGAATTTAAACAAGAATTAGTTATAAAATGAATCATTCAAAATTTCAAAACTTTTTTAATGCATGTATTATTCAATATGTCTATTTTATTAGAAATTAGAAAACCAAAACCAAGTAAAAAAATAAATAATTTCTAAAAATGATATTCAATTCCATAATTTTATTAAGATACACTATAAAGTTATCAATTTAATTTAATCCTGATTGACCTTTTAATTACACATGAATACAACATATTACTACCACCTCATACTCAGTCACTGTCTTTATGTTCTATTCGTATACGTAATTTTAAAATTAAAATGAGAATTAGATGAAAATAGTWTATTTGTATGTATATATTGTTATTCATCACTTATTTATTTTTTAGGCTATTTTATTTAAGTATTTTTACATTATATAAACAATAATATTTTTATTAGTTGTACATATTTACAAATTAATCCGTGGAAAACATGTCTTATGCTATCTACAAAAAGTGAACAATCATGTTACATATTATCTACAAAAGAAAACTGATGTTATTATTTTCTGTTTGAGCTACTTTAAATTTATTAACCTATCACTAAGCAAGCTAAATTATTTCATATATTATAATATGTTCAATCTACTATTAAATAGGTATGCTAATATACTATTAATCTCGTGTTTGTTATCTCAGATATTTTATTTTTTAAAACTTGGCCAGTTAAATTACGATTATTTTATATTCTCTTTCGCATGATCATACACCTCACCAGCAGTATTTAATTTTGTACAATAAATATTTTTAATTGATAATAATTCACGGTTTGCTAAAACATTCAAATGAGTTTCATGATTAAAAATAATTTTCCGGTAGTTATTACTCACTATGAAAATTTTTTACGAAAAAAAATTGTTCAACGATTACCAAACTCATAATTAGTATCTTCAATTAGCATTAATTATAAATATTAGTATTTTAAATAAATTTAATTAGTACATAATACAAGAGAAAAATTAGATATTATCATGTAGACAACATCATTAATACCAATAAAACATAATATAGGTACTTCCAACTTTTATAAAACTTGACAAGTGTGTCCAATATATTGGTCATTAATTTGCATTAATCATACTCTAGGACCTAGAGTTTAGGTATAACATTTAAGCTATGATTATTTAATTTATTTTCCTATAAAATAAATCAATAATTATAGATCTTTTTAAAAAAAATTCAGCGTAATATTTGTTTTCTCTTAGACCCATTTACAACATTCATATAGAATCGTTTTTATGATTCTTGAGTCATCATTAAGTAAAATCTCTTATTAAAAAAATTATTGAGGTTAATATTTTTGATAGTTTTACAAATTGTTTTTATATTTCATTGTTATTTGATTTTGAGACAGAGATTTCATATAGACAAATCAATAAATTTACCCCAAAAATTATTATTCTCTATAATTGTTGTGATAGGTAATTTTACTCTTAGATTACTCAAAACCGAAAATATTATTTTATGTAAATTTGTTTGTTACGCTTGGGCTAAAAAGATAGAATAAACAGTGCCCTGTTATCCTATTAACAATATGGTTAATTTATCTTATAGAAAAAAAACACCTACTTTAATAAAATATTTTTAAAAGTCAATAATAGTTAACATTTTTGTGTTTTAAAGAAGTGAAGTCCGGATATTTTTTAACCTGGATACTAAAGTTAAAGAACCAGACAGACCAAACCTTCTTAAATGCTCTGGCACCATAAATTTAGGACCTTCAGAAAGACCATCGTAAGTAGTCTAATTATTATAATTTACTTATCAGTCGTAAACAATAAATCTTTATTGAAAATATTTGTTAAAATAACTAATAGATCAATTGCTTAACATTAGAATACATTTTTTTATAAATTTTGTTATGATTGGTGAAATAGACAATATGTTCCAACGCTGTATAACAGTAAAATTATATATTAATTACATAATTTTTGTCAGCATATGGTTTGTATTGAATATATATATATTAGTGTACTACACAAAATATTATGTGAGGCTCAAATTCATAGAATATCATTTAGTTGATTGTATGTCAATAAATCAAGATAATTATTAGATATGTACCTACCTATGAAATTCTAATAAGATAATGCCAGCTTAAATAAATGATTATAAAATAATATTTCAATACTATATAATTTTGTTTGCTTATTATAAATCAAAATATTATTGTTGCATACTTGTAAACAATATAGTTTTATAAAATAAATATATAATGGAGCATACGCTAAAGCTAGTGATTAAGATGTGCTAAGCATGTGTGGTGAATGGAGAAATAATTCTTATGGAGAGTTACAAAATATAGAACAAATAAAATATAACCAAGAAAAAAGCTTAGACAATGGTGTGAGAATGGAATTAAAGAAAGTATAAAAATCTTAAGAATATTGAATAAAAAAAATAAATATATTTAAATATTTATGTTTATTTGTTTTTTATGTTACCTACAGTTCTAGAACCTCAGTTATAGACTAATAGAGAAACATAGAAAGACATGGTAGAAGTGGCTGTGGGCCTAAAGCACCTTGAATTCTAAAAAAAAAATTTTATTTCATTCATGTGATGAGTTTAATATTTTTAATTCTAGAGCTAACCCATCAGATTTTGTATTTCTACGTATTATTGGAAAAGGCAGCTTTGGTAAAGTTTACTTGGCTGAACACAAAACTGAATCCATTCATTTTGCTATAAAAGTATTGGATAAAAAGCACATACTTGCAAGAAATGAAGTCAAGCATATCATGTGTGAACGCAATGTTCTACTGAAAAATATCAACCACCCATTTCTTGTTGGCCTTCATTACAGCTTTCAAACCAAAGATAAACTTTACTTTGTACTTGATTTTGTAAATGGAGGAGAGGTGAATAATGGCTTCACATATTGTAATACCACTCAAATTTTATTTTATTTTTACTTTTACTTTTATAGTTGTTCTATCATTTACAAAAAGAAGTTAGATTCTCAGAAACCCGAGCTAAGTTCTACACAGCTGAAATAGCATCTGCTCTTGGTTATCTCCACTCTAATGGTATTATTTATAGAGATCTCAAACCAGAAAACCTGTTACTTGACCAAGAAGGACATGTGGTCCTTACTGATTTTGGGTTTTGTAAGGAGGGTCTCATCGGAACTGAAACTACAAATACATTTTGTGGAACTCCTGAATATCTTGCTCCTGAAATAATTAGGAAAGAAGTAATACCAACTGGTTTTACTATAAATTATTTTTAAATTGTGATAAATTAACTAATTTTTTATTATTTTTAGGCATATGGCAGATCAGTTGACTGGTGGTGTCTTGGTGCAGTACTATATGAAATGTTGTTTGGACTACCACCATTTTACAGTTTAAATGTGCAAGAAATGTATAATTTAGTTTTACATAGTAGATTAAAAATAAAAGGTCCCGTTTCATCACAATGTAAAAGTTTATTGCACAAGGTATGAAGAATATACTTAATACTAAATTTAAAAAATAATAAATAAAATTATGTTTCAATGACTAATTACTATTTCTAGTTATTAGAAAAAGAAAGCAATAAAAGAATTGGTAGCAATGTTCAAGATTTTAATGAGGTTAAAAAACATTCATTTTTCAAAACAATCAATTGGGATGATTTATTGAACAAACGTATTACACCACCTTTTCAACCACAACTGGTAAATTTAGCTTAATGTATAAAAAATGAATTTAATATACATATATTAGTCTTCTCAAACCAATGTGGACATATTGTCTACAGCTGTGGGGTAATACAAAAAAAAAAAAAACAAACATAAACAAAATTCAAGCATATTTTCAAAATATTGCTATAAGAAAATTAACTATATGTCATCAATGGGTGGCTCCTTTCATCAAAATAATGTTACCTGTCAATTGTATTTATAGACTATATTCTTATTATCTTAATGATATATATAGTATATTACTGGGGAAAAAAAAATATATTTAATATATACAGTGCTAGATTTGTGGGTGGGCGCAGGGGGGTGGAGTACCCCAATTAGTTTTTGGACATTTTAGTCCCTACTATTATTTTTAAAGGGAACCCATGGGACGCTACATTATTCTGCATCTTTATCAAATGCGCGAAGTACCATCATGATTTGTCCATTCAGATCTATGAGTTAGTTAATTTTAACTCATTATTACTAAACTATTCATTTATTTACTTTTAGTATAATTTTGTTTTTATATGAACTATAATATAATAATATGTACAGTAGTTACTAATTACCTATTATATTAATTTTTTTAATTGATTATTTATAAATATCTGGTATTATTTAAATAGGGATATTAGAGGATGTGGGGCATAGCCCTCACAGCTCAATAACGCTTAACAATAATTGATGGGGCGCTCTTTTTTTTAAAGTTAACAGTGTCCTCCTACTTTAATTTTCCAAGTCTATCACTGCTTAGATATTAACAATGTACAAATTGAATAACAAAAGATTAATTCAATGATAACTGTTTAAGTGTATACGTCAATTTATTATTAATTATCAATGATGATTTTGTTCACAGAATGGAAAATGTGATTTGCAATATATTGATCCACAGTTTACAAAAGAATCTCTCAGTTCATCCATGTCATCGTTTTGTGATGAAAAACTTTCTACTAGTAAACAGGATATAGATGATGTTTTTGCTGGTTTCTCCTACACTCCTCCATCTAGTTTAGATTAATAATAATCAAACCACAATTGTTCCTATCCTTAGTTAATTTTACACATTTAATCGACTTGTGATTGGTTCACGAAAACTTACTATCTACAATTTTTTAATACCCTAGTCTTATACTAAAAGTTTTTATTCTAATTAATATTCATGAATATTAATATTCATGTTTTTTAAAATAAATAAATAATTTATTCAAAATAAATAAGCAATAACATTCCATTTTTAATATACCAGCACCCGTGTGTTCATTACATTATTTTGCAGCTTAAATAGTCAGGGTTTTTAAGAAAAAACAATTTAAAAAAATATTAGTTAAAATATATTATTAATTAATAATATATACTTAATATGATATTTTGATTGTACTTTACTGCCAAAATGTTTTAATGTAAAAAAAAATTAATTTTAAAAATGATCTGTGATTTATTACATTTTTTTGTTTTAAAATCAAATTCTTAAAAATTGTTGTTCCATATAAATTGTGAGTTTATAACATCTGTTAAGTATTAAATGTAAATATCTAAGTATCAATATGTTTATACCCAAAAATAAATAAAATAAAATAATATTATTGTATTTAAATAAAATAGAAGGAATGTGTTAAAAATATTATATACCTACCTTGTTTTACTCATCAACTAAAATCTACCAAAAAATCCCTAATAAATAATTTTAGATGATCCCATATTGCCATCTACTAAATAATAGCGAATATACCTAGGCACACGTTTTTAATTGCTTTTGACCCATGTATTATTATGTGAACTATTAATATTATTTCTTAATTTATTGTAAGTCATAACAATGTAAGGATTAAAATAATACTATTTATTTACTATGAAAAATAATACTGTGTTAATTATTACAATCAATATTTACTGGGTACTGCCATAATTTATTGTTAATAATCGTATAATAAGTGCTCTTGTTAGAAATGCCTTAAGCAAATTTAAAAGATTATAAAAATAAAATGTTATGGAATACTTATTGTTTATATTAATATTATTTGTTTACTATTAATTTTATAAGTATTATTACACATTTTATATGCACCTGAAGAATTTATCTTGAAACTATTAATATTTAGTATTTGAAATTTGAATTATGTAATACCTACTATACTTATAATTTTAACTATAAGACATCTTATTATTTAACATTTGAATTCTATGTTGTTGATTTTAAAAATGGTATTTATTGAAAAGTTTTAATTAAGTGTTAAACCACTGTTATAATCATTCTTTTTGTATTTTAATTGTATGTTACTTATAATTGCCGTTTGTATCTCTATAAATCAAACATATAATATCATAATATACCTGTAGTCTACTAATTACTATGCAATATACTGATATCTTATATGAGATTCATTGGTAATTTCTTAAGCTTAATGATTAATAGGATATAAGACTGTACTATATGCATTACTGAGGCCCTTAAGGGGAAACAGGAATGACAAAAATGTTTAACTTAAAAGCTCTTATCACACATTAATTATTTTCGTCTTTGAAAGAAATTAATTTTTTTAATATTTAATTTTTATTCTGAATACCTATTGCGAATTAATGTAATTGTAATTTTACAATGATGTGTTTTTATTTTCTGTCATMAACATCTGTGATAATAATGAAAGCTCTGATTCTTGACATCAGCATCTTTTCTGATTCAAAAGTGAATAGAGTAAACAATATCCTAGAAGTTTTTGAAAGCCCCTCAAAATCCTAAAATAAGGAAAATAAAACTTAGAATAATGGTAATTGTAATGCGAAGCCAATTTTTGTCTTTTATAGTTTGGTTAACTTGGAAACTAATAACCGTAAATATTTGAAATTTTTCTCCAAATTTTTATACTATGATTTTTCATGGTAATATTTTTGAGCTATTTATAGCCTTAAGAATAATTTCGATTTTGTAAATTTTTTTTGAATTAACCCTGATAAAAATATTTTCACTCATTCAAAAAGCTTGAAAATTTAATACRTGGTTCCTCATAAGATTCTTTGATGGTAGTTCAAAACTACTAAAGATACATGGGCATGATTAAATTTTTAAACTACTTTTCATTCAGAAATTCGTAAAAAATGTCTTTTCATGTTTAACGTTAACAATTTTAATCTAATTTTCTACAATAAACAAAAAAAAATATACTTAAAAGGAACATTAATTTTTTATGAGGGTTTGAATATAAAAATTTTAACTTATTAGATTTTCACCGGCAAATTAACAAATTTCCATCTCTTGATATTTTCTTGCAATTCTAGAACGAATAGGTATAACCAAAGACACTAACATTTTTCACCAAATTTTAAATTAACGATTTACTTTGCATGGTAAAATTTTCAAACTTTTTACTTCCTTAGATCTATTATTATAGCCATAAGAAATTTTTGAAATTTTGTAAAATATTTTTCAGTTAGAAATTTAGGTAGGCATATAAGTTTTTCAAATTTATCAAAAAAATATAAAAGAGTATGTAGGTATACTGAAATGGAACATTATTGTTTTAAGAGCGTTTGAATTTAAAAATTTTACGATATTAGATTTAATCGATAAATTAACATATAGGTAATAATTTTTTTTTTTTTTTTAAACTACATATTAAATTTGTTCATTTGTACAAGTATGCTAAATTATTGGCACAATGTCTCCGCTCAGAATCGTTTTCATATGCAACGATATATCATTGAATTCAAATAGAAAGCATACATTACAACGATATGTCGTTCAGTCTGCACAAGCAACAGCAAAGCGGTAGATAATATTAGCCATTATATAGGTAGGTACCTATAACCACTATTGTTCACTTTAATTTTTTCATTATTTGCCTGTTCAGACTTACAATAAGAAGCTAATCAATTATTATGTAATCGACGTAATCTTATGGACATCAATATTTAGTATATTATATAATTTCTGGACCTTGAACATTTTGATTTGATTCATCTTTATAGGTACCTATACTATTTGAAACAATTCCGCAATTTCTATTTAAATTCTTGGAAATCCTAAGTCAAATTTGGATATCTATATAGTCAGTCTGTTTAGGTACGGCTATACTTACAATAAGATATAGCTTAAATATAAGTTCAAYTATGATAGGTTATTAAGTTGACCAAACGCGTTTCCTACGGGAAAGTTTCGTACTTTAAAAGTTTGCCCCGGTGTTCCGCCAAAGCTTTTGGACGCTTAGGTATGTGTGCAGTTTTTTTAWGTCCCATTTTCATATTTCTAAAAACAGTTAAAGAAAATTACAATCGAAATATAATACATCGCAAAAGATGATATTTCTACCAGCGGTTAATTATATTAATATGTAAATATTTTTTATTTTTGAACTTTTATTTTCATTTTATCTCTCTAAATTATTGTTTAAAGAACTTTTTATTAAAAATAAAGTAAATATAAAAAAACTWACACTATAGTTTAGCATTTCATTACCCTTTTTTTTTTCGTTTTTGAACCGACGGCGTCGCGGGTACAGCTTTCGCAATGCTTCCGCGAGCATTTCATTTCATTACCCTAAACCATATACATAGGACTACATTTTATTTTCGAAGGGTATGTAGTTCACATATTTTCTTCTCATTGGTCTGATTGGACATTTCCYCTAAACTTCCAAAGTTCCAAAAGAGGGAAGGAATAAAGTTGAAATGGCTTAAAATTATTAAACGCCTTCTTCAACTCATATTGGTACTTATATGATATGTATTTTGTACACTTATAGGTACTCAAATCATGACTGACAACAATCAAATTATCAAATATTTTGAAATGTATAATATCACGTCTAAAGAATGTTGAAATATAAAACATACTTGATGAAAAATGCATGTCTACGTATCACATCTCTGAATTACAACTAAAATTAAACCAACTTTTTTCAATAAAATGAACCAGTTTTTTAAGTATCTCGAAAACAGTGATATTGTGACTGTTCATCATAATTTCAGATAGTACATCTTACTAGGTATCTATACTAATTAATTTACCATCTTAAATCGTGTTGTTCATTGATCTATCTTTACTAATTTTCAAAGTCATTTAATTTGTTAGTATTTTTTGTTTACAGGTACTATATTATTTAACAATAAATAAATACAACAATAATAACTATTATACTAATTTATTAATAATAATACATTTAAACATTTTTGTGGTGATACATATTTATGATCTAGAAAATAATGAATAATTATTGGTTTAAAATTTAAATATTACATTTGACCCAAACACACATTATTGCGAATCTATCTGTAAACGAAAATAAAATTAAATCAAACATTTGAACGMTGGTTGCAGACAACCGGCCGGTATACTTRACACCCGGTAAACGGTATTCGGTATAAACATTATAAACGTACCCTGGTATTATGGTTATGTAAAAAGCGGTAAAATGTATACAAACAAAATACAGGGCCAGCGTAAAAATCAAGATAATAATTATCGGAACTCGTGCTATTTAGGACAGAATTTATCAATAAATAACTTTCAACTTTGATGAATGAATGATAAGTTGTGGGAAGTATCGTTTATAAATGAATTACACTATTTTTCAGAATTAATATTAGCAAAAGTCCATACTTTCCCGTTTTTCTACTGCCCATCAATATTATGAAATTTTAAAGCAGAGAAGTCTAAAAAAAAGGTCGTTCCCAATATGTTTAACTGTTTTTCACGCGTTACATGTTATAGATTTATAATTGTTATGTGTGAGTATGATAGTAATAAAAAATATTAAATATTATGTGTCACCTTCTAAAAATTAGGTAAGTTTTCGTCGGTATCAGTTCTTGATGACCACGCACTTCGTGTACGGCATCATTCCATTGTACAACGAACTGGAACAACTTTTTTGGATCACTTTATCACTAACGGACYTGTCTACAATGGTCCCRCACAACGAATTCAAGAATGTCTCTAATTTTGCACTCGAAATTTGGGTGAAAAATTGAGAATCGTACATGGTCCCGCCCGTCTGTAAAACACAAATAAATCTTTTTAATTCAATGGTTTTTACAATTTCATATTGAATGTACGTCATTTTCGTATCGGCGGTTCGCGGTGACTTTCTAGGAATATAGGGGAACTAATAATATTAATATGCCAAATTAATATCATTAAATAAACATAATATTATGTACCCATCGGCCATCCTACCTGACTTAATAACACTATTAATGTGAATATGCAAATTATTACTGTTGAGAAAAAAAAAATGGCATCCCTTTTTATAATATACCTATATCACATTATACCTAACCTACGATATATGACAATATCATTAAGAATATTAGTAAACTAAGATAACCCTGGACCACCACACGAGTTTTTTTCAATGAGCCCAACTAATCTTTTTGATATTAATTAAAATGAAAATAAAAAATGGACCTCAATTTTGACATATATTTAGAATATTACGTACAATGGATAATACCTTCCTATTAGGCACAACAAGTATATAGGTACATATACCTACACCCTACACTGTTGTCTTATTATAAACATCAATTGTGTGTAAAAAAATTAATACGGTTATTTACGGTCGGAGTCCTGATTCGATTTTATATGAACACTTTTTTATTATACCTGTTTTTGAATACATTAGAATTAAATTCACATCCTCGTCGTTTATTATTATCACTTTTTAGGATTTTCCCCTCTTCATTCACTGTGGATGCCTGATCCTACTACTAAATCATTACCATACCTACCTATTTATATTTAATTTTACTTACATCTAACACTAAATTCGTCTCTAATGATTGGTCGAAAGTATACACGCCATCACTGTATTTACCATTCGGTGACGTATTTGTATAAATTCTGTTCATACCACTCGCTCCTGGAAAAACAAAACAATGTTAGAACCAAAAATTATTATTTTTCACCTTGATGATCTTCTAAGACCTTTAACGTACAGAAGCATATTTTATGTGTAAGAATATATAATGTATAAATATTATATGAACACACATATTATAATATCGTTATTACATTAATACTTAAATACAAAATATAGCCAATRTAGTTAATAGTATGAGCGGAAATCTGGAAGGAGACTAAACCCTCAGATATCCCACTATATCATATAGGCATATAGTCCCAACACCCTAAAAAAATAAACATGACGTTTTTATTTTATATTGCAGCGGTTTTTAACTTGTAGTCCGCGGCAGTCTTAACACCTAACATAAGTCAATACGTGATATGAGTGCATTATTATAATATTTTAGGATTATTATTAATTTTTTTTCAAATAAAATATATTATCTTATATTGTAAGAGATATACCTCTATGTCTACTTCCTATAATTTATAATATTAAATGATTATTATAATTTTATGATAACATGAAATGTTTGTAAAAAATAAGTATTCGACAAAAAATTGGTGGGGGGTCCACGATTTCCAAAAAGCTTTCATAGTTTCATTGGAGGTCAGTATTCTACAGAAAGTTAAATACCGCTGGTATCTTGAATTGAAATCCCCCGCTCAAATTATTTTTAATAATGTTAGAACGCCTTAAAATGGATTTCTACCTATGATAGGTAAGCGGGCGGTACTTTTTTCGCTMAAAAATGACCCTTCGCTTTTCGCCCAATATATTTTAAAACTACTTTTCCTAATCGCCCAAGAATATTTAATAGCATTTTTTTACCAAATTTTTATAATACACAGTTTGGGAAACACTTACTTTAAATTATTAATTAATAATTATACCTTACATAATAATAAAATTGCCTTACCGAAAATTCCGTCGTCTGTAGCATCATTCAAATTGATAGGGGCGATCAAGTAAAACGTGATACCTTGTTTCAAATACCATGATGTTACGTAGCTGAACGTGTATTGAGATAACTGCAGTGTAAGGTGGTAGATTTTTAATCAATTATCATATTATTTTGCATGAGACTTGAATACTTACGGATTCTTGCGTACTGTATAGAGATTGTGCGATGGACAAAACGACTTTCATAGCATTCGCTCTGAACGGATAATCGGCCGAAAGTCTGTATGCTTTGTCTTTTGGATTTTTATCTGAACATTAAATAATAAACACATTTTAAACGGTCAGATAAATTCTTATCGTACATTTACATCACTTTAATAAATTATATTGAAATCTAAATCTTTTGGTATTATATACCACAGACATATTTAAAATTTGAACTGCTTAAATTAATTTAATGCTTGACTAAAAATTAAGATTTATTCAGAATTTTTTATTCAATATGGCTGCTATTTAATTGGATTGGGGATGATTAAATTACAATAGTAAATATACCTACTATTATCCACCTTTTGATTATTAGTTACGCTTTGTTGATAGCAAGTTAAAATAAATTACATTTTTAATCTAAGATTAACTGTAAGATAATATTATTTACGTATCATACCCATAACTTTTCTAAACGAATGCATAAGTTGAGATTGCAGTAAACTTGTCTCTGGTTCGGCGGTGGTTTGAGATTCTGTCGATTTCGGAATGTCACTCAATAATTTTGTGTAGCCATTGTCATCGTTAATTGAATACATATGCACTTCAGAATCTGTACTTTTTTCAGAGTATCCAATAATAATAAATTTGACGTTACTAAAATGCAGAACAAAAATAGAAACTTAAAAAATTAAAATTATTATTTAATAATAATTATTCACATTAGTTTAATCGCTTGGTTTGGGTTAATTATCTTATTAGTTATAACTTTATAAGCTTGTAAATTTATAACTTAAATTTTTTCTGAAAGTTGGAATAATATAGGTAGGTACACATAATTATATAGTTTATTTTTAACACAGAAAATACATTAACTTATGAGATAACGGAAACAGACCCACGGTATGGGCAATGGTATAGACAAATATAGTGATCATGATAATTTTATTATTGAAAAAAAAAATGAAATTATCATGCGACGTACACAACTCTATTTAACTCATTATATTTCTCTGTTGTCTAAATTCTAAATCAATCATACCTAACCTGTCAGATAACTATTTTACCTATACTATAGCTGGTATCCTGCACTTGATATTATTGTTGTAAATTAGTAACAACTTTTTCTATCTCACTATTTCTAACTTAAAATGTGCCTCCACCATGTATACTCAATACTCTAGTAACTCATTACTCATATGTTAAAGTTGAATATCTAACATCTAATACCTATACCTCAACTTGAACTACACGACGTGCCTAGTGTGTAAGCACATGTATAACGTCATAATATCTTATATTATATAATCATATTTACTTTATTCCTTTGCTTTTCAAGTCATTTGTAACTTTTTTTATGAAAGGATTCAATATATCTGAAAATGTTTGTTCAATTTCTAGGACCTCTTCGAACAAAATAATTATATCTGCTTCATCGCTTGGATCAGATATCTGAATACTCGTCGACGCGTCTATTGTACGGTCGTGTATCGAAGTTGTTACTATAAAATACAAAAAAACTTCGATTATCTAAAATATAATATATTATCTATATTTTAAGAAAAAGCTATAATTTCTTATAGTTAATATATAATTAAAATCAAAGAGGACAGAGTATTAAACTGATTACAATATACGAAATGCCCACTTAAATTATATACAACATTTTTTATCTTTGCACAGTATACAACAGTACCTATTATGAAAACTTAAATAAATAAGAGATCAGCGCCATGAGTGATGACTGATATTGATATCCATAAATAAAATGTGTCAGACACAGAGATATTCATTACATTATCGGCTATTGCAGAAAACACATTCATAATAATTACTAATTAGGTATCATGTTAAAATATTTTATATTTCTATATCTAATACGAGAAAAAATATGTATGTAGTTTATTATTTTATAATATGTACCCAATCTAAACTAAACACAATACGATAAGGACTCAATAATTTTAAAATACATATTTTAAGTAAATTTAAAATATTACATTAAAAATAATCACAGTATTATTAGTTGAGGGTACTTACTACACATATCCGGAATATTACAACTTAACATATATTTTTGTCTTGCCATGCTCACAAAAGCTTTAGCCACTAAACAAGCTTTATTCAAGGTGTCTGCTTCAGATGTAGCTGTAGAAACGATTTGATTGCAAATCGCTCTATACGCTGCTGGTGGTATTGTTGGGAAGAATGGTCTAAGTATAAAAAAAAATGTTGTATATAATCATTTACTAAAATTTATGTTACGTGCAAGAATTCATTAACTATGGTCTTAGGGCCCGTATTACAATAGTTTAACTCCGGTTAAACCACGGAATTCGACCGGTAAAATCAGTGGTTCAAGMATAACCGAGGTTTAAACTATGATTGTAAAACGGGTCCATAATCAATTAATTTAATGTTTACTTTAGAGAAGATGTTCCAGAGAACAAGCTGGAACATAGAGGTACATCGGTTTGTGATAAATCGATATTAATCGGTTTGGTGTTTCCTTTTTGTCCATACGCCAACAAAAATGATGCTATATCATCGGGTAACTAACATGAAAATACAATTTAAAATAATATAGATTTAGCTTTTGTTTTTGTTAGTATTTTTTTTTAATCATAGGTTAGGTTTACTTCTCCGTTTGGTAGTTTTAAATCAAATCTGGGTTCTTGATACATTGATCCTAGTAAACCATGCACTTGACCATGATAGTATCCATTAATAGACACTTGAACAATATTTAAATCCAAAGTGCATTTAATACTGAAACCAACAGCAACGTCAATTCCAAATAAATAAACATCTTTCCATGCTTTTAAATTGTCATTCATAAATGGAAAATCAGCATCTTTGCCATTAATGGTTATCTGTAATCATTGTTTAAAATTAGAAAAATTTGATCATCGTTAAAAATTTATATTTTTAATAAAAACTAAGACAATCACGCTATGATGAAAAACAATCGTTAATATAGTTTTTATCCAATATGAATGTATAATAATAATACTAATAAACGTTGTTTAATGTACATTTTTGGAGAGAAAAAACGTATATATCCTATTTACTTATTATTTTAATTGTAAATTGGAGTAGACTGCAGCACCTACTTAAAGTAGGCTACTTTTTATTGTAAAGTTCAATAATTAATTTTTTACTTACATTTCCTCCAGAAAGCAATATGTAATTTTCACCATTATAAACTGAAATCGATATTTTTTTTAAAATGTTTTGCTCGTAATAAGTAAGTATTGAAAATTTCTTGTTTACAAAATCTTCGACCAACGTATAATAACCGGTGTTTGGCATAAAACTGTAGGGGTTACCGTTGTAAGTAATTATATTGGTGAAGTCGATTATAACACTATGAGCTGTATAAACGATAAAATAAATAAAGTGTGAATTAATAATTCTGAGTATACTTTAAAAAAGAATGTAGGAACTAAATAAATAGGTACATTACCATCGAACGGCGGCATTATATTCGACGGATTCAAATAGGTATGATACAATTGCATATTAGAGTCAAATAACATTAGATTTTCATTGGTTGGATATTTAAATGTGTTTGGCGAGGCTAGGTGAAGAATAGTTTGGCCAAAGGTAGTAAGTTTACGTAATGCATTAAAAATATTCATTGCTCTATCATGATCTACGTAATTTGAGAAATCAAATATCATCGACTTCACAACTATAAGTCCTTTATTCCTTAGGGTTGTTATTTCTTTTTGGCTCACCGGTATGTCATGAATGATCTATACGATTAAATTCAAATTATAAATATAAGTAATTGCGTTTGTTATAGTTATATATGCACACTAACATTATTTATATAGTTATCCAAAGCATTGACAAAACTAGCAAAATCTCTGGTTGGAGCTGACTTTTCTAGGTCTTGCAAGTAGTTGTGTATTTCTTCCCACGCATTCTCTTTGTAAGGGTATGATTTCAACTACAATCAATCATTATAAAATATATGAATAAAATTATAGATTTTATTTCACGCTTAGAATATTTTACTTTTTCAATATGATCGCGTAGCATGTCATAAAGTGGCAAACTCTTCATATAATTCTCTGTCAAGTCTTTAATTTCATCTATTGTATCCTTAAGTTTCTCAATACCTTTCATGAATTTATCCATAATTTCTAATTAAGAAAACAAAAATCATATTAATTGTTATGTCTTTACACGAATTATCCGTGAGGCACAATTATAGTGGTATAATTAGGAATTTGGTTGGGGGATTATATGTTTTTAGCAAAATTTGTAAGCCTCATACAGTAACCTACCCCACAAAATATAAAATATTAACAGTAAAATAAAAGTGTTGGAGGTGGATCTTATTCTCCTTTAATTACGCCCTTGCATAGTTAGCTGTACATTCAGTTGAACTGTAGTTCACTAGTTCATAGTTACTAGTTACATCATAAAGTTAATAATAATTTATTATACTATAATGTAGGTTATACCTACACATTATTTTTAAATCATAAGGTACTAAGGTAGCAAGTTTTTACAATTAATTTAATCTATAACTAATATCTTACTATTATAGTACTCTTTGACCGAACGAGGTTCTGATGACTGCATACCATTCACAGGTTCATCAGTATATAGATTTAACTGTTTAAATAAGTCCAGTAAAGTAAGCTCCACTTGGTTGATTAATTCATCAATTTTATGCTCCAACTTATCCAAGAGTACATTTGTTCGATCTGAATAATACTTATATATTTTCTTTGAATAATTTCTTATATATTCATTTAGATGTCTAATCGAGCTTATGAAGTAGTCACTGTTATAATTCATAAAATCGATAACATCGGAAAATACAGCTTCTGTGGTATTTTGTCTATAAGTACAAGATATAATATATTTATATATTTAATTTACCGATAGAACAAAAAATATATTTTTTTATATTTTTTAAATTTACATCAACATTGGTATTTGTAGTATATAATCATCTTCTAAGACTTCATCATGTATTTGTTTAAGCTCGTCGCTCGCATATTTCATTAATGTACGATATTGTGGATAGGCTTTTTTTGCTTCATGTAATCGTAATTTACGCTGATTTTTGGCCACAGACATTATATTTACCATATTGTTGTGTACATTTATAAATATTTCAATGAACTGTCCCTTTAATGATTGCTAGAATACAAGAATAACAGATTTTTATGTTAAAAGATAGGCAAGAAAGAACCGCTTTGCTGTACATTAGCCATGAGGTGTAACGAATGAACCTCGGCATGGATCAGATAATGTTATAGAGTAATGTACATAAGTATTGAATTGGAATTCAACGCTGAATTATTGTATACAAAGAATGGTTCTGAGCGAAGACTATCTGTTAGCATGCATTACTATAAGTATATTTTATCAAGTATTTATATTAGTACCTATTATAATAGTTTATTTTACTATTATATAGTTATACAATGGGTTTAATTAAGTTTTGCTTGATAATTTATGTATAAAGGAATAACCTATTTTTATACTTTTAACCATCCTAAGGTTAATTTAACATCCTATGCCATCTTAATTCGATTTCAAATTAGAAAATTAATGAAGTTTAAATTTTTCAACTAAAATGTGATGATTGATGCAAAAAATACATATTATATTGATCGCTCCGCTCAGAATCAAAACAAATTCTGTAATGTAAGCTATATGCATAAAAATGCACATACCCAAATTTTGTTAGATTGTTCTTTACTCAAATGGTTACTTGTATCCCACCAATTTTCTTTATCTAAGGATTTTTTAATGTATCCCACAGGTATGACGTCATTACCATCGTTTTGTATACGAGTAGCACTTATAATCGCAGACTCATCCATATTAATAGAACCTTCGACTATCAGCTGTTCATGGCTTCCCGTTTTATCTAGTAAAGATATAAATAATTTGAATGGAAAATGAATTATCTCCTTTGAAGTTAATACATACTTTCCCATCCCATTATAAATTTGAAATTAGGATTTGAGGTGAGCGAAATTTCAAAGAAATACGGACGATCATTGTACTTAACTTCTGAACGTGTATTCAAAACTCCATCTTTGACTATAATTGACGAATTGACGTCGATCAAAGCAATATCAAAAATGTTAATCTATATTAAAAAATTAATTATTGTTTAAACGCTTATTATACTAATATAATATATAAATAAAGGTAATACAGACTTTGTTGGCAAATCCTCTAGGAACTAATTCAAAATGTACTTCAAATGGTCTAATATTATTATCCGCATCAATAAAACGTGCATCTAAATATTTTCCCCATTTTTCCCTTGAAACATATATAGAATCTTTTAAAGCATAATATAATTGCATTCCCTAAATAAAATGAACAATACGGTATTATACAATATATAATATGTCTTTATAAGACAATTATCGTGTAAAGCGTAGAACTTTTCTGACATGCTTACATCGCTTTGAGCTGATACCAAGGCAGAATACAAAACTCCACTATCTTGAATGGTTCTGTTCAAACTAGTAAGGAGTTTTAATGCTTGATTTTTATTGGGGAAAATGTCAAGTTCTAAATGAATACTTAATGGATTTTCCCAGTTCTTAAACATTTGGACATAGGTATTGACAACCATTTCCTAAAATTGTTTATGTTTATAGAAGTGTTTAAAATATACAGGCTAAATTATTTATTTTACCTTATCATTAAACAATGGTACAAATATATTAATGTCACTGAATGCAGAAAGTCCTTCATCAAGGGAATAGTAAGTAACTATTGACAAGGTGCTTTCCGAATCTGGGTTAGCAATATAATCTAACCACGTTTGTCCCGAATAAGTAAAATTGTATCCTCCATCTATAGCGTTTAAACTATAATGCGCTAAGCCCCTTATTTCTCGTTTTTTATATAAAAACACGAATCCTATAAAATATTATATTTCCTGATAAAATACAATGTATATGTATATTTAAAAAATATATAAAATCCAACCTGTTTTTTCATAGTTTGTAAGCCATTTAAATTTATACGAGTCAATTTCACCTTCTGATGAAATAATTTGAAGAGTATGCTCTTTATCTAGTGAGTAATTACTAAATTGAATATAGGAGTTAAATTTTAACACGTTTTGGCCATCATTAATCAAATAATGAAAAACATTTGGGGAATCGACTTCGGATATTAATTTATAATACCAATTCCATGCATCTAAAATTAATTTATTATTATTATTCATATTTAAACATTTTTTTGTTTATGAATAATTTATACTTGTTATATTATATTCTAATTCCATCATTATTTTTTGTTCTTCATCATCTATTTTGTTACTTTGTTTATACTTCAACATGTGTTTACTAACAAGCAAAGATTTTTTGTATGTTAATTGCTGATTATTATGTATCAATGAAACTTTATACGCCATCTAGAAATATATTATAATGTTTAAATTATTATATTATATTTTATTCTAGATGGAGCTAATTGTTACTAATATAAATACTTGTGTTCCATTATCGTATCCTTTATATATTATATGAAAAGTAATAGGTTTGACATTCTGTGATTCATCGTAAATACTCTTTCCAGACACATATAACCCATCATTGGTCATTATTAATTTATACAAGAACCTTATGTAATTATTCATTAAAAAATTATTTATCATATAATAATTAAATGTCAAAAGACTTACTTTTCAGATAATAAAACTTTTTCATTAGAAATGCAACGAACTGTTGCAAATCCAACATCTTCATTTTCGGGATTAGGTTTACATTTTACTGATATGTGGAAATTCTTTAAATGCGCTAATGGAAAATCAATGTCTCCAATCATCTGTGTATGATGTCCGTTCAAAAAAATATTTCCATTTGCATTCAGATAGTTTGAATATTGATCACCAGGCCACAAAACCTGTAAAATTCAAATTTATTATTTATTTTAAAATATTCTGTCAAAAAAAAAAAAATAATAATAATAATAATAAATAAATCTCATCTTGTGATTATAATTAGAAACATACTTTTGTATCAAATAAATACGTATTTTTTGTTTTTAACCAGCCATGTAACATCATAAAAGACTTATATTCAGGATTGGGAGAATCAAAATTAATTTTACAAGTGATATCGTCTGCTAAAATATTCATATCAACCGTAAAAGTAGAACCATTATTAATATCATAGTAAATATTATACTTCAAAAAATCATCTGTAGACTAAAAATAAAAAAATAATAAGTTATACTTAAAGGTAGTAATTATAGRGTATAGCTATGCTGACCTGATGTGTTGTATTAAAATGATGCCTTCCAAGTGTTTTCGGTTCTTCTAAATTAAGTTCAAAATAATTACCATCTTTATTCTTATTTTGAATATATTTCAAATCTCTATGTCCAGCAAACGATGGATCCGAAACAAGAGAATGATCTAAAATCCCAAGAACGAATATTCCCGTATCCTCGGTACTTGGCAGAATAGTGATATTAGCTTTGAAAATTATAGGATATAATTAATATAAGCATAACTATTTATTCAATTAAAATGCTCACCATTCATTGACGTATCAAGCAGATTGGAGGTCATAATATATCCGTGCGTTGTAAGTTCACTGTTTTCAAACAGTACGTCACAATTTGCTTCAATATATCCATCGTCCCAACGGATATAATTATCACTTAAGAATACATATGGTGTTTTAATATGCAATTCTTGGGATGTAAATAAATTCAAAGTCTTAACTTTATATAGAAAAGCTACGAGTTTGGACATTGGTCTATAACCATCATAGCTTTCATCAGTCTCCAATAATAATTGTTTATTAGCTAGTTCGTTTCTAGTCATATTTAACATTAAGTCCAATTGTAATACCGGATAATCTCCACTAAGAAATCCATTCATGTTAATAGTAACACTCTTGGCTGTTAAATTAACATCTCCTAATACTGTGTTATTTTCAAAACTTAATGACCCTTGTAAAGAATGTCTGCTCTCGGCAGTAACAATAGCAACGTCTCTTAAAGTTAATTTACTTGGATAATTACTATCGGAATTCGTATTACGTTGCACGAGAACGTACCCTTCTACGTCAAACGTGGGTATGAGATGATTTCTGTATTCTGTAGAGTTTTTAGCTTCGAATATTGGTAAATATTTTATTGTTTCAGAATCCATCTCTTCACATTTTACTCCAACACTAAAATAATGCTGTTGGGAACCATCAATATATTTAACTTCTATGGTTTTTTGTTCATTGGAATCAACTAATGTCGTTTGGAGGATTTTTTTAGTTGATGGAGTTTTAAACTCTGCAAATAATGTTTTATTTGCTGTAGTATCATAAACAACGACTAACTGCAAGCCACGTTTGATGTTTGTATTCGGTGTAACAAATATGAACTTGATATGTTTTAACTTTGGTGCTATGAAATAATAATAATAAATAATTAATTTATTGGTGAATGCATTACTGATTATTAAATATTGTAAATACACATACACGTTAAGTCATAACTTCCAATCATAACATATTCAGTAAGGTTTTCATCATCTTTAAACATTTTTAAAGAAAATGACGATGAACCAAAAAATGGTAGTAACGATTTTAACTCTCCGTTCCAAGGAAAATTATAATCAATGAAATACGACAATCCTACTGTATTCTTAACACTTTCAATTGATTTCGTGTATGATTGCCTAAAAATGTAAACATTATTATCCACATTTTAAGTATGTTCTGCAGATATATTACCTATCAACATTTGTAGACATAAGTGGTATTTCATTAGATTCACTTCCTTTTTCTTGCACTACTGAAAACGCTCCAGATTTTATAGACAGTATATCCATAACCTTCAAAGGAAGTCCATAAACCATTTTAAAACTTTGATTTTGTATCGTCTCTAATGAAAAATGAGATCCTGTAGATGTATGAAGTGAGGACGATATTTTATATCCGACATCAACAGTATATCCATCTATTGTTAATAAGGAGTTAAAAACAAGTGAACCGCTGAAAATAAATGACGGATTCATCAGTTATTACATATGACAATTAATAATCAATAATATCATATAATATCTTATTAACTTTTCTATCCCAATTTGTGAAATGAGCAAATTAATTCCATAACATGATAAGAATTAAACGACAGTTAGATGTCCTAAGAGGACATGATACCCACATCTATTGTCTCTGTCTTACAAGTGCGTAACAAAGCAAATTTTATGGCTAACAGATCACGTTTAGTTAAAAATTAGAGGGAATTGGCCTCTTATAAAATTTAAAGTTAGGAATATTATTAGGACGACCTCATGGGATTAATACTATATTTTAATTTAGCGAGAGTTTTAATTTAAAAAAAGCTAGTTATAACCATTTTAAAATTGTAAATTTTTAGTACATCTTAAAATACTTATAACTCGCGTATCGCTTCAAAATTAAAATATACCTGGTAAAAAGCACATAAGGTCGTCTAAATAATGCTTTTACCTTTAAATGTTATAAGTGCTCCATCCCTCTAATTTTAAACTAACAGAGCTAAACGTGATTTACTGAGCGTAAAATTTGCCATGTTACGCACATGTGTAAGACTGAGACAACACATGCGCATATCGTCGCATTAAAAATATTTTTAAAATGAAATTAAAGTAATTCACAACATTTTGGTTAAGTATAACTGTTTTTGGAACATATTTATATTTTAAATGAAACTGAAAATTTTCTTGACGTATTCATGAATGAAGATCACTTTCACTTTTCAAAGAAAATTTCACGTATATTACATACGAGTATGTACACATAAAATGACAAAATGCCATAACATATTATTAATATTAAATAATTAGATATATTTAAATACTTATAAATTATAATAAATCACCTAGGCATGAGTCTGAACGTAAAATTTGAATTTCCTGGATTTTTCAAATAACTATTTAAATCAAATGTTGTAGATAAATTTAATTTAATAGCTGACGTAGCTTGGATTTTTAATGAAACTGGAAGTCCAGAAGATGTTGCATATTTCTTTTCGAAATCGATAATTGGTATGTGTTTCCTTATATTCAGCTAAATAAATGTATTATTGTTTAATGATCAAGTAGATATTTATTTAATTTAAATAAATGTTGAAATAATTATTTACTTCTATATTATTTTTATCGGCTAATGAATTATCAAAATTATCCAGTACGGCATCAATTATATGTTGATAAGTAATTTGACATTCACGTCCTTGGAATGACAACMAACCAAGATCTTTTCCAAATAATTTAAGTGTTATATCTACATATATTTTTTTCATTTCTTCTTCAGGTATATTTTCACAAGCCTGCAAAAAAGTAGCTAATAATTTACAAGTTGTATACACACTTATTCAGTTTTTATGTTCTTACTATAACTATGTATATTATAAAATTGGAGCTTTTTAAAAATCCTTAGGTTCTAAATATTCTACATTTTATCATAATATTTACAGTAAGCAATTAGTTAGTTGAAAATAAAATCGTTTAATTTCTTAGAAATATCTAGTTCACGATAAAAAAATAAATGTAATTGGTCATGTAGCCAAACTATAAATTAATTGCACACTAGTTGTATGATTTGAAAAATAAAAGAGTTGGAAAAACAATTATTACACCGACTTATTATAAACAATTTACTTGTTTAGAAGACAATTCTGAATCTACGTTATTCTGTACTCCTTTAGCATAGTTTATTGCTTGAGTTACGTAATTTTTAAGATTATCATATGTAGATCCCTTAATATTTGCAAAATATCCTTCGGGTCCAAATAGTTTTCCCAATAAAGGTTCCAAGTTTTCAACTCGGACATCAATCTAAATTATAACCAGGATTAATTTGAATAATTATTATATTTTTTATTTTTGAATAAAAGTACAGATTATAATATTTACATCCATTAAGTCATGTTTACGTCCAAATATAAAAGCTTTAAGTGATGTCGAAGAAGACCGAGCCAAAAAAGATCTGTAAAAAAATACATATAATTTATTACAAAACTTTCTGCTCAAGTAAAATATACTGTATTAGCCTTATTGGTATTATTGTATTACTTGTATGAATAAATAACATCTGTATCTAACAAAACTCCACTGTGTAGCATAGGGCATTGATGGTAATAATTCAAATTTTGTGAGTAACGCAGAATATCATCGAGTGATTTTTTTGATGACATCGGTTTAATTCCTTCATAAAATCTCTTCTGATTTAGTTTATTTTCGTCTGTGGTCGTCTGTAAATTACTCAAGTAGCTGAGTAAGTAAGCTCGAACTAAAATGAAAATTTTGATGGAAACAATTATTACAATATTATAATTCTGTTAATTTTCTAAATATTATTGATAGGAACGTATTGATTGAAAGTAATATTAAACAAATAATAGTATTTTAAATGTTACAGGAGAGATGCAAATCTTAATCTTTTGTAATTCCACATTTTTTCTGTGGTCATGATAATTATAGATTCTCGCTTGAAATTTGTTGTGAATTGTAAAAACAAAGTATGTATTTATATTGATATGCGCTTATTATCTTCGAAACATTATAATTAAGTACAAGGGTTATCATAATTCATAATAAAAGAAGGAAGAGGTATCTACATGTAATGTTAATTTTTATTAGTTGTATCAATTTGAAAATAATGAACTGAATTAATTATCAAATCAAAACAACAAATGTTAACAAATGTTTGGTCAAACGGTAATAACATTTTTCTTAATCTTACTTTGAAGTTGGGTATTTTTGTCGTCTAATACATTTTTTATAACAGCTGCTTTGTAGTTGGATGGATCAATGGAAAATACTTTAAATGCTAAGATACGTAGTTCAGAGTCTTCTAAGTAGTCGGTGAAAATATTTTCACAAGCTTTCATCACCTAAACACAATATGTAATTAGATAAAGGTTAAACACTTACAATTTTATTTTATGCAGATAAAATATTGTTGACGAGATATAACACAACCATAAACGGTAGATCACAACCATATAAGCAGGGGTTAAAGTGGGGGACGCAGGAAGACTCAGTACCTCTGACGGCGGTTAAAAAGCGTCCCCTTTATCAAATTAGGAGTTTATACATAAAATTATATATGGAACGCTTAAAACTATATGGAGACATTAGTCCCCTCTGGAATTTTTTCCCACTCTAACCTCTGCATATAAGTAAACCTTAATTTGCTTTTATATAGTTATCTTAACGATAAAAAATTACTTGACTCGTGAACAGTAAAATAAATTTAATAGGTAATCAACTTAAATATTTTAATGTATACGGACTGCGGACCTCGATTTAAATCTAATACGTATTTTTGCATACCTTTGAATTCTCAGCATAGATTTTAAGCATATTCAATGCTGCTGCTTTAATCCTTTGAATCGTATTTTTATCCATGATAATTTGAATAATTAAATCTTCTATATCACTATTTATGTGTTGCGCATAGCCAAGACCCTTAAGACTAGCAATAATTAAGTCTTCATCATTTGATGATAATGAACCATAGCCCACTTTCTTTAATGGCTCTCCTAAATTACTCAAAGTATCTTTTACTTCAGAACTAGTATAGTCATGAGTATCTTGTTGGTATTGTCTTAACAAAGCGCCGACTCCCAGATAGCCCTCTTTTAGAGCTCTGTCATTGAGTAAGTTCTATAAATAATAATAACATTTTTATAATTTAAGTTTTATTGTACAATAACATGCAAATGCTAAGTGAAAGTATTTAAATAGATTTACTGATGCTTTGACCACTGCCTCTTTGGTAGGATGTTTTGCGTTGGCTAGGTTATAAAACCATAAAATAGTTAGTGAATCGCTTAATTGATGACTTTTTATGAGTTCTACAGCGGCTTCAATAGATTCACCACTATTGGCAGCCATTAGAGCATCTATGAAAATTGACCTATAAGAGTATAATTAACGTTCACAACAAAGGTTTAAACACTAAAATATTATTTTAAATAGTTTTTTCATAATTTTATCAACATACTCTGGTACTTCGGGATTTATACGTTCACTGCTGCCGCTCATAATTTTATTAAACGCGGAAAGTATGTCTTCCTTCTTTGCCACTTTTAATAACTGTACTAACACTGAAAAACTATCAGCACCATCCATATGGACTATAGGGTCGAGTTTAGTCACAGCCGATTGTGTTGCTGCTACTAACGCATTCGCATCTACCGATCCAATTACTCCAGTTGGTTTTTCAAACATAATTGATCGGCTTTTGTTTAGCAGTGTTAGAAGGTCATTTTTCTTATTTAATTGAATCATTTTCACTTTCTTCAATTGCAAGCTCATGGATGCCATTATTCTAGTTGCTACATCAATTGCGTCAAATGGTTGATAAATGAATGTCTCTTCATTGGTGACAGATATTAATGTAGAGTCTTTTATTTTGATTTCAGAACGCTGGGTGGCTGTTGAGAACGGAGAGTCTTCATCAATCTGTACAAGTACAATAATTTAAACAAGATTCATATCTCAACAATAACTTAACTGTAATGTGTTTATAAATATATATATATAATTTAGTATATATATATATCGTATTGGATTCTAACCGGATACGATTGTGCCATTAAATTGATTTTGTCGTGCCCCGTGCATTGGATGAGATTTTTTTCCTTATTTATTGTAAAAAACGATTCGGACAATGTAGCCGGATAATATTTAGTATTACATGTCCCTTGAACATCGGTCTAATAACATATATTAATTATGATTAGTGACACTGAATCACGAATGCTGTATAAAGATGAATCACAGGAAAAAAAATAGGCACCTCTAAAAGTTCTTTTTGATTTCCTTGAATTGACGATATTTGTAAAGATGAAATGATCGCCCGTTTTAAATTCATCGATTCGGCAGAATCATCTGCTGTCGAACAAATGTTCTGACCAACTTTTCCGTTGTTGTAAGAAAACAGAACAGGGTTGCCCTCTAGTTTTCGTAATTCTTCGTTGCTGTAAGTCTATGCCAAAATATACAATAATAATAGGTAATAATTTTGCAGTTTCACGGAAAACATTAACTCTCAGTGAATGAAAAAAACGCTTACCTTCGATCCCTGAGTTATTTGAAGATTCTTAAGATAAATTATAACGCCACATTTTTCTGTTCCGATGGTATTAACATCTCCTTTGATAGATACTTCTGATATACCCTGTTCACTGTCAGTTGGAGCAATAATGGTGGTCTTACCACTGAACAAATAGCTATGTCTTCTGTTCTCGCCGAACACCACATTGCCATTTGAAATTCCTAAAAACGTATTTCATGGTCGTTTCAAAATTGTTATACACATTAACGATTGTGATAAAGTGATGTATAAATAAGCATATTTCAAAGCGTACAAACCATCGGTACATTTTGAAGAACATGTTACTGCACTTTCTTCGTAATCCCTGACAAAAGTTTTTATAGGTTCTGAAATTGAAAAATTTAATTTAGTTCAATTTCGTATTTTAGGAATTTTTTTTTTTTAAGTAAGGTTTCGTAAAATTTAGCCGAAAAACGTTTAAAGGGTTCTCTCATTGGATACCTTCCTTTCTCGATGTCACAATATCCAATATAATATTATGTTTTTTTTTTTATTGTACAGATTGTAAATGTTACTTATTTATTTAATAATAATAAAAAAGGCATTTTTTTTAGGTATTCGTTTATACTTCGCTATCCACATAATATTTTGATTTTATGCATCATTTTTTTTTTTTTTTTTTTAAGATTTTAACCAAAAATTATATTACCTATCTAAATATGCAACCTTTGACTTTGTTAAGTGGGGCTTAATAAGGGCTCCCCCCCTTATACATTTGAACTTGTGTCTACTCCTGGATACTACCATTGATATTATAAATACTACATAAACAATACTGTATTTATAATCAATTCATAAACAGTATTTGTGTAGTGAAAAAATTATTGCCTCTCCCCCTCTAGATCAGTGATTTTGATCAATACCTGATTTTCGCCAAAATAAAGATAATATGTAATTTATACTATCATAGGTATAGGTAGCGAAATATGTACAATAATATAAACTATAGTCATAATCTAATTAATATTACGGTGGTTATTTTTTAAAAATTATTATTGTCATTTCATATTTATCATTCGATTCGTTGAATATCGTTGCCATTGAGCATGTCGACGTGTTTAACTACCGATGAAATAATTGAATATATTAGATATAAGATAAAGATAGGTATCTACTGAAAAAACAAACGACCGGTTTTGGCCGGCCTGCACATACCTAATAATAAGTAATAACACATCGTAGCTATATGGTAAATTCTAAAATAATATACTGAATACCGAAGTATAAGTGTTATCAATAGGACTAGATAATACTTAAGTATATATAACATAATAATATAATATGCATAGTGATAGTGAATGGCGAATAGACATGGTTATAATTTTAAAAAGATGCAGATGTATAACAATTTATAAAAAATAATATATAATAGTTAGCGTCCAGATCAATTATACGGCAAATACAAAATAGATGCACAGTTATTTATAATATATAAAATTATAGTTGTTTATTTTAATTTAAAAATTTTATATTTTCATTTTACTTTTACAAACTTTGAATCTCATTTTTTTATCAAATATATTATAATTTATGTCAATATAACACAACTATATGTGTGTAGCTGTAAATAGGTTAGGTTAGTATCTACTTTTAATTCTTTTAATCGAAAAATGTTCTCCATATACAATTAATATTTAGTGAATATTTATTAGTATGTCATTCGTATTTAGCGCAAATCACTTTGTCGAAAAAAAAATTGTAAGTACGCAAATTGGCTCTGTCGTGAAAACTCTTCACACGTACCTACATAATCCGACCAATAATAGGCATAACGATTTTCCCACGTAATTTGAAAACACCAATGCAAAATATTAAATAATATAATATATAGACACATTACTATGCAATCCCTCCTATAATGTGTCTGTGAGGGATTGCGTAGATTTCTTATTTCCATTGCATTATCTACTATTAAATATATTTAATCAATGGTACTGGTGCTTATGCAATATTATCATTAAAATTAACAATAGTTAATGTCAAATAGCTAAGGATGCTAAAATTAAATTATATCGTTCAAAAATACATGACTCTTGACACACGACACACCCAAATAGTAGGTAGGTAAATACCTGGTTCCGCCATTGAAAACCATGCGATCGGTTTTAGTGATTAATTAGGTACTGCAGCAGTAAATAATCACGTTATAACTTATAATGAAAAATTAACAAATTTTTTTTTAGTAAGTAATTACGTTTTTGAATAAATATTTAAGGTTGATTATACGTATATATATATAACAAATATGCATACATATTTTAACATTTCGATCAACCACTATAGAAATAAGTACGCTCAGTCTTATCAATAACTATATAATAATTAAGAAGTATATTATGATAAATGTATAGGTAAAATACCTAATGGGACTATGGGAGTATAATGATTGAGACAAAGTACTAAGAAAACGCATGTATAGTTTCAAAATAGTTATACTTAAGCCAAAATTTTATTTAACTAATAAATAAAAGCTCAAAAATATTACAACTTACCCAAAAAGTTAGACGAAGCTAATCCTACTGCAAGTGCTAGCAGGAATAACTTAATAAGTGTTCCCATGATTACTCAAAAATAGTTATAACCAAATTATTTAATTTGGTTCTCGTAGCTTATGGTTTCACATGCATCAAGCAAATTAATTATACGATGTTTTCTTTGCAGCAGGTACTGATATTTTGTAAATTTTCTTAAACATAAGAAAACAATATTTTAAAATGGTAATTTTAAATTGAAATCAAATAATCAACTAATATGCAAATTGATAAATATATTGTTTAGTAAATGTTCTATTTATTATTATTATTGTTATTAGGAGCTAGTGCTTAAAAAATGTATGTACCTACCATAGGTTCGTAATATCTTTTGGTTGGATCTAATCGAATTTATATTTTGTTTTTTCCATAAATAGAAAGTGAATTACCTTAATGTTATTTAAATATGTATACTTATTAATGGTATCAAGGTAGGTAATGAAACTCATGAGTATATTTTTTTCTAAAAATTTAACATGAAAATAATAGATATAATGTTTCCTTTAAAATTTAAAAAAAATATTCGAAAATGAATGTACTTATTTATGGTGGAAATATTTTCTAATTATTCAAACTAATGGCAAATGGTAAAATAAATTATTTGGTACACAGGATAAATTAATATATTATTTTTATTTGTTTTATTTGTTAAACATGGACAGACAAACTTTGAAAATAAGTATGTATTAACTTGTAAAAAATACGAAGGTATATAGAGTTTATTAATTATTTAATATGTTTTTTAAAAATAAATTATATATTTGTATTTCTTAGAATATAAATTATAATCTTAATAATAAATGTACTAACCTTTTAGAATGATTAAAAACTGTGTGCAATTAATGCTTTGATTTCACTAAAATTTTCGCCAGTTTACGACAATAGGTTTTAGAATACGTATTACCAAAAAATGACACAGCTAGTATAACAAACTGGTTAGAGAAACTTGCACTAGTGTTGTATTTTTGTCATTTTGAGCTTTTTATACGACAACTTAATGAATGTCTAGTGCGTGGTCTTGAATTGATTTTGACAGGAATAACAATTATGCGTCCGCATAAAATAATATAATTTTAAATCATAAATTAGCAAAATCTGCAACAACAAAAAACAAAATACCTACGAGGCTACGAACCAGGAATCAGTAAACATTCGAAAACATTAAAATTCATTATGTCTCACGTGTTATTTATAGATTCCCAATTTCCATTCAATTATTCGTGTAATAAACTGTCCTTGGTAGATAACTACTAAGACACCTAGTTATATTACTTTAAACAAATAATCATATTCAATGTTGATATTGAGGACGATTTTAAGGGTTCTGATTGAAATTTTTTGTAAATAACCTTTTCTAGGTCTTATATTTTTCTGTGAAATAATATATTAATGTATGTTATTTTTCTTCTATTTTTATTGGCTGATCAAATTTTTCCCATACTTAATACATAATATGCAGAATTGTTAATTGAATCAATTAATAATAAAGAAAATACTATAAGGAACCAGTGGCATATTTACGTGAGTGGTCCACGGGTTCAACGCCCCCCTCCCCCAGAGAAAAAAAATAGTTGCTCAATGTTAAATCAATATTTTATTACGGGTTTTCTGATAATTGGACGATGTAGACAGTTGCGTTATTTCAGTGTGGAGTAGGTATGGCTGCGTTTCAAAGATGAAACAACTAAGCTTTATCACATGTGATTTTTAAAAATTTTGAACAACATAAATCATCATATGAGAAAACGATTCTTGGCGGTGATGGTCTGACTACAGGTAGTGCAGCTATTTCACATTACAATATTACAAAAAAATAACTAAGCGTGATGATTCTTGTTTAATTATCTGATTTCGTACAGTGGCGAATTTGAGGGGGGGTGACGTGGCGATTACCCCTCCCTAGGGAATTTTTTTACTTAAATTATAGCGCCGTATGATAAAATGAACAAGAAATTCATAAGTCATAGCTATAACATTAAACTTATAAATAGGTAAATGATACAAAAAAATGTATTTTTTTTAAATATTATAATGGGAAATATGTATTCAGTTACGTCTTTGTTATTACCTATCAATCTATGATACCGATTCGCCCCCTCCTCAAATGATCTTCAGATCCGCTACTGATTTCGTACAGTGTAAACTTTAATTATCTATAAAAAAAATGATGTACCTATCGTATGAATTTCTCAGCCGGATCATATTGGAGTAAATCGAATTTTTTTTCCATGTTTTGTGGTAAATGTATAAATACATATTTATAGATACATTTCGAAATGTTTATCATTTCAGTATGCGCGCATGGACAATAAAATATGTTTTTTTTAATAGCAACACCGCCAACACCTATTTGGTATTTTGAACACCATATATTCGGATAGGCCTATTTATTTTAAAGTCATTTTTATGAATCAAACTATGATTCTACATTTACTAAAACTATTCTTTAAAATTGTCTAATAAAAGCTATTGCAATTTTAATAAATAATACGATTCATTAAAAATTTTAAAATGCATAACATTTATAGTTATTTATTATTGATTACATATTTTTTTCTCTAAAAGTATTAAAAACAAAATTAACTATGAATAATGAGTATAAAGTAATTATTAACTCATATTATTATGTTTATATTTTTTATGGTGTATATAAAAAAAAAAGACGGGTAAGTCGTGGATGTCGCTCTGCTGTACAGTAGGTTACAAGTGGGTTACTGTAATGGATGGAATTAAATTTGAATCCAATGATATTATTATT